TTTTCCTACCCGATCCAAAGCGCCTACGTTACATCCCTAAAAGTCCTCTTGATTCACTAGTTCATGAATTTGATTGTTTAGAGCAAAGGTTAGACGATAGGCAAACTTACGATTGATTCACTAGTTCATGAATTTGATCGTTACATCCCCCATTTTAGGTCGTTCCATAGGTTTTCAGGTCCTCTTAGTTGTTTCTCGTGTTTTATTGTTATTTTGGTGTGTTTGGTGTTTTCTTTATTTTTCTTCACATTTTCTCCCTTTCTTTGTGTTTTCCGGTTGTGGTGGTTTCAGGTTTTAGACGAGAGAAGAACTATTTTGTTCCCGTTCCTAGGAGTCCCATACTGGTTTGTGCGACCAAACATGGGAGAATCGAGTTCCCAGCTCGGGCATAACCCGAGAGATGCTAGCCGAGAGCACATTACTCGACCGGAGGTCATTGGCCTTCAAGAATATTGGAAATATAAGCTGCCCAGACCCTAGTGTCGCTAAATGTGACATAGATAGCGGCACTGCACAGGCCTAACAACCTCAGAGGCTACAGACCTGTATACCTTAGCGAATCTAAAGTCTGTTTTTAACTACTGCGATTTAAAAGGATTTTCACATGGGAAAGGCATAAGGATCGAGCTTAGGGCATTGTTCTCATGATTCTCAGACTTGTAATTTCATTTTTTTTCTCCCAAAAACATCATATTCTCTATTTCCATTTGGATTCAATCTTGGAGAGTAAAAACTTCAAGATTCATCGTACGGGATTTGGATTGCACTTGGTTTTCGACATTGGTTTGGCTCTACTCTTTCGAATTCTAATTCAAATATCCGGCGTTGAATCAATTGTAAGCACTTCTTTCTGTTTTGTTTATGATTATGATGGCTTTGTTTGATGTGATATTTGATGTAGAAATCGTGATGAGTAGCTAAATCCATTCGCTAGGGATAGGGTTCATATTCGATTACGTGCTCGTTAATTGTTCAACCTATGTGTGTTGTGTTAATTCTAGTGTTAGTTGATTGATCACCATTCTAACCTAGTGAATTGACTTTTAGAATCGGAAGGGGAGAAGTCGACCGATTTAGGCTCATTTGGAATAGGCTTGTTCATAATTGTATTGCCTATTGTTATTTGATTTGATAGTTGATTGTTCACGTCTATTCTCTTGTTACAAAGAGTTATTGAGAATAAACCTCTAGACGAGTAAACTTTTCAAGTCTTTTAACCAGACAATTGATTGCCCGGTAATTGTATTAAGAACCAAAAACGATTATCCTCGACTCCATAGCTCTTTTATCATTAACTTAATTTGTGTGGAATTGGAATTTCGTCTTGCATTGTTTGAGAATCGTTAGTAGTTAATTGAAACCAAAACCAATTGAATTAGGGTGATTAAGATTTAATTTCTCTTCTTGTAACTGAATATACATATGAAATATCTGGCTAACATTTCTTGCGATACTTCCTGGGGATTAAATCTTTTCATTTAACTCCGGTAAAAGTAACTACAACATAAATCATGTGAACAGTGACTTGGGACGGGTTTGTGTTTTGTATGAATTCATTTTGTTGGGACCGTGTTCTCGAATTTGAGTTTAATAATATGGATAACCGAAGGAAGAAGAGAGCTTCATTTAGCATGATCATTGTCTATGAGCATTTCGATCTTTCTTCCCGAGCTACTTGTTATTTCCTTGGATCATGCTACATGTACCCTTGGTGTACCACTTAGTTTACATCCAAGAGGTACATGTACCCATTTCTATTTCTTTTGCTTGAGGACAAGCAAAGAGGTAAGTGTGGGGGAATTGTTTTGTATGTTTCTTTTTTTTTTAATTTATTTATTTTGGATGTTTTTATGTGTTTAATTTGTGTTCGTTTTATTTTTATTTTAGGTTTTTCCGGTCCATTTAGTCGTTTTTGCTCGTTTTCGTGTTTTTATGTTGTTTTGGTGTCTTGTGCGCTTTATTTATCTTTTTACCTTTTAGTTTGTAGGAAATTTTTCAGCCGGAAAATGCACAAAAAAGTTGCCGGAAAAGTTCCCAGAG